CNGAGCTGTGAGGGTTTAAGGTTGCAGACAGAGTGAAGACAGTTGTGACAGCTCAGAACCAAAGCTTCACAGTAGAGCAGCTGACTACCAAGGTGTTCATCAGAGAGTTGGTGCTACTGCTGGAATAAGCAGTGGCATTGCCAGGAAGTTAAAAGTAGCTGTTAAAATGAATATGAGGCTTAGCAATGGCACAAATGATAGCTTTATAGGATTCTAAACCTACAATGGACTTTTTTCCTGGACTAATTACAACAGAGGCTCCATTCTCATTTCTACTCAGTGACTAAGAATCATTGTGCCATTAATACATCCTTGATGGTTCACTAAGTTGGAAAAATACTACTGGTCAGGTTGGAATGCACAGATATAACACCAACATACATATTATTAAGTCTGTAGGAGAAACTGAACTGAACAAGGAACCTTGAACCCTTGAATTTTGCGTGAGGCGGCTCATTAAATATGTAAACATGAAACCATGCTGCTCCTGAAAGCCACCAATGTCTTTGCCAAAATTTTGTAAGTATAAACTTGTGTGTCTATTGCAAATTATTATTGCAGAATTAATGTTGAATCAATAAGAAACAACTGTTTTAGAAGGAAATCCATTTACTTTACAGTCTGTATGAAGCCAAAGTCCAGAAAAATCCACCTACCCCTGGAGGAAAATGTCACACTGGCCAGTTCATCTGCATCATCCTGATCAGTAGAGGTGGTCAAAGGGGTTCCAGGGCTATTACACTGTGCGGTGTTGTTCATCTAATGGTGGTGCACCACCAACCCAGTCAAGTGCAAACTCAAAACCCGGCTATTAACTTTATTAAAGGTTCATGGTTTGCATAAAGTTGCGGTTTAAAAGGGAAGTGAAAGATGAGCTCTAATTCCATTGCAACTAAAGATATATTGCGATAACCAAAACATGAGTTTTACACATGTGGGGAATGTGAAATGTCAAAGAGAGCATAGAGGGAGCTGTTGTTCATAAAGAAAAGAATGAATACAATAAAATAAATATTTATAAAACTTGTAAAAGTATTGCTGGGGCATTGATGAAATTATATTGCTGCAATTATTTATCAAAACAGACAGATGGGCGTATAGAAAACAAATTGATCTTTAAGGTTAATAATTTCCAGAAAAGACAAAAGGTTAGAGGGGAAAACAGACGTCCTCAATGGGACAATCCAGCTTTGAAAGAGGCGAAGGTGAGACGTCAAGTGAGGCCGTGTTGAGGTCACAGGCTGCTTTCTTTGCTCACTGTTTCAACTAATGAGTCAGTGAAAGGTCGTAGGGTCACTGAACCCTTAAACATCCCCCAGCAGCACATCCACTGACCGATCCTCAAACCCCCCCTTTGAGAAGATGTGATTGCTGGCATAAGTCATGGTGTCTGTCCTGTGTGTCTCTTAGGCATCTTTTAAATGCTGTCCTGTATCTTTTTCTCCCCTGTCACATCAAAGAACTGCAGCCATCCAGACTGTCTCACAATGTGATGACACGGACATGCAAATAAAAATCCAACTACACACACCAAGGGTTGATATTTATGTTGAGGATGTCAAGCATCTTCCATCTACTGAAAAGATGAAAAGGTTGAGTCAAACTTTAGACACTTATATTTGAATATCTGCTTGTTAAGACAGTCCTTTTGGATATATTTAATTTTAGTAATCTGTCTGTAGCAAGTTCAAATTAACGGGATACGATACAGAGTAGAGAACAGCTGGATTTATACAGAAATTATATGTCTGCTGTTATTTTATTTATTTATTTTTTTGGAGGATCAGATGAAAGGGTGAATGATTAGAAATGGACACTTTCTCATTTTTTATAAGTAAACATAAAATATAAACTGTTTCATTTTTTCACTCTCCAATATATGTCACTTGTCGTCTTCCAGAGAAAATCCCATAAAATAGAAATTCATGGTTTTTAATCAGACAAATTAAGGGAAATCTGAAAATATGTTCATGCATCACTGTCAATCACAGGCCTGTTTATTACTGCATTTTGAACCTTGAGAGTTTGATCTCATTCCAGACTATTGTGCAAAAATACAAAAGTCTAAATCTGAAGTTAAACCAAGGTGGTTTCATTACTTCAGCCAACAAGTGCTGTGGTCTGGACACTATTAAAAAAACAACAACATCTGATTAGTTTCAAACACAAATTTCCCAGAAACCTCAACATCTTATTCCAACTTCCATCCTTCCTCTCTTAGTGTCCATTCTTGTTGATATTGTATGTTTACTAATGACCTGCATAATTTGCTGCCAGTGCTTTGAGTGTCACTGCATCAGTGGACACTTTGTATTTCCGGCTCATTATTGCTGCTAAGGCATACAGCGCAGCGATTTTTTTTCCACAGACAAATCAAATCAGCATATGATGCTATACCCCTAGAGAAAAATGCCATTAATGATCATAATGGTTATGCTCATTATTATGTCCACATTCTCGTTATTTAAGGGCCAGCTCCCTCAGAACTCACTGCTCTTAGGTTGCACAGTTAATGTATCTTGTAGTCTCTTAGCGTACCATAAGTCATTTATGAGCTGTCCCTTGAGAACATGCTAACTGTAACGTGACTCTGAGATGGACAGATGTGCTTCGGGGTCAATGACACGCTATCCGATAGGACAAAGAAGGATCAGAAAGAGGTCAAGATGCTGAAAGCAACGTATGTGCAGAGGAATAGATGACAAAGATGACAAGAAGTGGTTTTGAAGGTATCGGGTGTTGCAAAAGATTATGGTAATGATGTTTACCATAAGTTGCCTTTCAGTTTAGTTCATTCTTGTACTTTATCAACTAAATACTTCATTTGAAAGCCTAAAGATCTGAGGTAAACTTGTCAACTTTAATTCATTTGGATTCAGATTTGGGCACGAATAGCTGTAGACACTCTTATAAAAACATTCTGCAGGCATGTGTGTGTTCAGCCAGGACACAAAGAGCGTCACAACAGTGTGCTGGAGTTTGATCTAAGAACTTGGCCGTGTTGTCACAGGCACAGAGGTTGAGGAGCTATGTGAGGAATGTGAATCAATAAGCTGAAGGACACAATGTCCAACCTTCGCCTGGTACAGCTTCCTGTAAAAACCTGCAATCTGTGGTCATGTCTGTAGTTCATGATGCTTAGGAGAAGTATTATTAAACCCGATGACACAAAAAAGAAAAATCACTATTTAAGCTCCTAGCAAAATGAATTCCAGAACAATCTTTGTGTGTTTCAGTCTGACTGTGTGAACTACGTGAAGATTGTGCACCACTACAACCGAACCCACCTGTACGCCTGTGGAACCGGGGCTTTCCACCCAACCTGTGCCTTTGTGGAGGTGGGACACAGGATGGAGGTGAGGAATAAACAAAATGCGAACCAACACAAGTACACTTCATTACAGTTCGAATCCGGCACTTCACAGGTGAGCTTGCTTGCTGTAGCATAACAATCGTTTTCTTTGTGCTCTGGTTCCCTGGCAGGACCATGTGTTTAGGATCGACCCCTCTAAGGTTGAGGACGGGAAAGGGAAGAGTCCATACGATCCTCGGCATAACGCTGCATCTGTGCTAATCGGTAACTGAACCTATATAACTTTTCTCATCTGGTTATTCGCTTGATTGTTTTAGTATGGGTTAGGTCTACCTCCGGTTTTCATATTTTGGGCTGTGATTGAAAAGCCTTACAAATACACTCATAAACATTGAGCTTATTCAATTTGTGTCAATTTCAGCCTCAAACTCTATTTTATTGAAATAAAATGTTTTGTGCTAGACCAACACAAAATCATGTAGACCCTATTACCTTTTAGCTTAATTCATTGCAACCTGCAGAAGCCAAACAGGTAAGTACCATCTTAGTGGTTTGATAGATAACATTAGCTAAGAAACAGCTGGACGAATACTAGGGATTATACCAGGCAGGTCAGGGAGAATATTTAAAAGTTAAAGCAAGGTTAGATTACAGACTGATATCCCAAGCTTTGTGGGTCTCACACAGCGCTGTTCAGTCAGTAATCTGAACATGGAAAGACTGCCTATCACAATGTGGCTACCTAAAGCTGACGGGCCACGTGAGGAGAGCATAAATCAAGCAATCTGCTGACAGCACAGTCATTAGTTCTCCATTGCCCAAGTCTGGTCTGCATGCTAGAGCAGCACGAGGAAAACCACTGTGGAAAAAAACACTTTAAGTCCCGTTGACAGTCGTAGAGGACAAAGCAGACATGTGGTAGAAGGTGCTTTGGTCAGATGAGAGAAAATGTTTGCTTTTCAGCCTACATGAACGTATGTGAGGTGGGAGGCTAACACTGCACATCAGCCTGACAACTCCATCCTCCTTGGTTAAACAATGTGGTGTCATTATGCTGGGTGTAGGCGTTTCTTCATCATGGAAAGCTGGAAAGAGTTGATGGAAAGATGGATGGAGCCAAATACTCGTCAAGTCGGAAGAAAACCTGTTATTGTCATAATGATCAAAGTTTAGTGGGCAGGTTTATTGAGGGCTACAGTCACTCTTCTTTCACTTTGACTGAACCCTTTATTTTTTTTTAAAACATCTAGTCTCATTTTGTACAAAAGAACATACTCCCAAAAGACATCGTATAGTAATTGCAGCAAACTGTGGTTCTAGAAAGTGTTGACTCAGAGACAGACTGTGTCATGCTCTCCAGTTTTATTTACTTGTTTTTTTTATTGAAAACCATGTGTGTCCTACTACAAATTACTTCGTGTTGCTCTGTCACGTGTTGAAAACATGTTGAAGTTCATGGCTGCAATGTGACCAACTGTAAAAAAAAAATCATGCATGTTCTGAATCTGGCATAGACTAACCAGTATTTGTGTTTCCCAGGTGATGAGCTTTATGCAGGTGTAGCCACAGACTTAATGGGACGAGACTTCACCATCTTCAGAAGTCTGGGCAAACGTCCCTCGATTCGCACCGAACAGCACGACTCACGTTGGCTCAATGGTGCGTGTACTTTTGTTTGTCTTGTAAATAAGCATCAAGCGCCCTCATGGGACAACGTGGTGTGACGACTGAGGCTGTGTTAATTGCCTTTAATTCCGCCAACCAGAACCAAAGTTTGTCGGCTCCTTTTGGGTCCCTGAGAGTGAAAATCCAGACGACGACAAGATATTTTTCTTCTTCCGGGAGACGGCGGTTGAAGCTCAAGGTTTGGGAAAGTCCACTTACTCGCGCATTGGACAGTTATGCAGGGTGAGAGGTCACTTAATCAACATCCAACAATGTGGAAAATTGGGATTAAAAACTCTGTTTATGCAAAATCAGATTATAATTGAGTTTTGTTTTGTCAGAATGACATGGGTGGACAGAGAAGCCTGGTGAACAAATGGACAACATTCCTCAAGACCCGTCTGATCTGCTCAGTACCAGGAGCTGATGGCAGTGACACGTACTTTGACGAGCTGCGTAAGTGTACAGGGCACACACTGGAGCAGAAGTACTCCAATGAAACTACAAATTTAAGGATATTTCTAGGTTTAGTATCATATAACATACAGATATATGTGAAGTTCGGGTTCTGTTCGGGTCTGTTAATTTAATCATGAAGAAGGTTGACCTGGTTTCAGTGCCTCAACTTTTGTTGTAGTGATTTTCAGTCAGCGTAGGAAAAATATGAAATCTTTGGAATGATATGTATACTTCCTGTTTCCATTTCTGACAATATCTGCTGTACAATTCAGGGAAAAGATTATTTATATGGCTTCAAGAAAAGCTAAACGGGGGGGGGGAGTTGGAAGATTTTCTGACCCTTTCCTCTGGATCTCTACCCAGAAACACATTCTGGTGGTGTAAACGGAGAAGATGTTAGGAAAACGTGATCAATTCACCAGGATTTAAAAGCATTTACAGCGTTTAGCCTTAAGGGATCCATATTAAAGTAGAGATTAAAGTAAAACGGCAGAATTTAAAGTGCTATGCAGATTTACAGTAGGATTGATGATTCTTGTATGTCTTACGATATTTCTGTCCCTCCATTTCCAATCATTGAAAGAAATCAAAACAATAACAACTGTCTGAACCAGCATCTTTACTTTTAATGTGAATTATAATAAAAAAAAACTTTATGAATTAAGTTTTATTACATTTTAACCAAATAATATGTAATACATCAATAAATATGCTTTAAATTCATCAATTGTTATACGATAATATTCAATATTCTCCAAAATTCCTTCTCCAAAAGACTTTTTGTTATGTAATGTTTTTCTCAGACCTGTTGTCATGTGGTTTTTCCAGCTGCTGCAGGAGTTTTTAAGATGTGACTGATAAAGTGTCTGAAACTCTCTGCGGGCCACAATATGGCCTCCCTTTGTGCTCATCTCATGACGGAAGGAAAGGTTAACTAAGTGGAAGACTTTGTCCAAACCCTAACCCCGCCTCGGGCTGCACCTGCCATTCACATTTCTCCATGTGAACGATGAGTCTCTTATCTAGATGATGAGCTTGGGACTGCACCTGAGGCCAAAAGTAGAGAGAATCTGTGTGTGAAACTGTGTTGGTAAACTATAGGAGTTATCTGTTTAAAAAAAAAAATTACTTCATTAGTTTGTAAACTTTTTTTATTTCTATAAAATCGTAACATTTTAAGGCTTCTTTGTTCAAGAAGCAAGACTGAGTGGTGGATTCTGTTTCATGTCATGACCCCCACTAATCAGCGAAATGTCTCTTTAAAGTGGTTAGACATGTCCATAGGGCTTTGTTTATCTTTTTCCCAACCTTTGACCTCTGGGCTACCGCCACCTGACCCGGCTGTCTGTGTGTGTCTGTCCTCAGGGGACGTGTTCTTGCTGCAGACGAGGGACAAAAAGAACCCTCTGGTCTATACTGTCTTCTCTACTTCCAGGTCAGAGTCGAGTCACATGTGCATGTTTGTTTATGCGCAGGAGTGAGTGTGTGAGGGTGTGCATTAGGGAAAGTGAACGGCGAGGAAGCAAAGTGCATACATGTCATGCATGTGTTTGTTGTATCTAACCCTGCTCCTCTTGTTCCCCCAGCAGCAGTGTGTTTAAAGGCTCAGCTGTGTGTCTTTACTCCATGAATGACATCCGGAGGGCCTTCCTGGGGCCCTTTGCACACAAAGAGGGGCCTAACTACCAATGGGTCCCTTTCCAGGGAAAAGTGCCCTATCCCCGCCCAGGAATGGTATGTTAATAACTGACAAAACAGCAGACAGACTGTAATAACGTCCAATCGTAGCAGGTTATTAAAATAATTAAAGCCAATTTTCTTAAGAAGGTTATTCCTTAAAATTTAGTACACCTCCATCCTTATGTTGCATCTTTTTAAATTAATTTTAAATTTATGTCTTCATGTTTTTTTTTACTTTTAATCAAATCAGGGTTGACTCTGGCCAAAAAAAAATCATGTAATGCCAGTGACAGAAATAATGTTAATAAAACAGTTTAATGGCAGTACTTTCAGAGAACCCAGTATGGTGCTAAAAACCAGTTTTCCGTGCAAAACATTTCCACAGTTGTCCCAATCAATGAGGGTTTGACACTCCACCAACCACAGAAGCCTTCAGTCAGCAGGATTTGTTCATGCTGAACTTCATTTTATAAGGCCACAACAGCTCCAGACATACTGCATAGTTAGCAGGCAAGTTATACTTTAATAATGCAACAGAAATAATGTAAAACTGCATTTTTACTGATTTGGATTTCAGATACAGATCCCACAGGCTTGCAAGGCTTACGGTCAGGCTGGACCAAAGTGAATGAGTCAGATTTCTTCCTATAAGAAGAAATAAGCTAGCTTTAAGCTAAGATGTCTCAAGGTGCTAAAGTGCTCCTAAGTATTCAGAAAATCCAGAGCTGGAATTTTAATTAAAGAGAGAAACTGGACTCTGACCTGGAGTAAATCTCCTCCAAGTCCCTGACAGCCCTCACACCATAATGACCTCAATGCGGCCGCACAACCGGGGCTTGGTGCATTCTTAACCAGCTGAAACACTGATGAGTCAGATGTTTTATTCCACTTGTATAAAACCAAAGGCAAAAATATTTTTTGAATGGAACGGATGAGTTCAGTCATAGCAGTTTCATTTTCATGTTTTAGCAAGTTCTGGAAACTACAAAATGTGTTTCTCCTTTCCTTCCGTTAGTGTCCCAGTAAGACATTTGGGAGCTTTGAATCCACAAAAGGTTTCCCAGATGATGTGATCCAGTTTGCCCGTCACCACCCCCTGATGTACAACCCGGTGTACCCCATGAATCGACGGCCTGTGTTCGTTAGGACCAACGTGGAGTACAGCTTCACACAGATCGCCGTGGACAGAGTCAATGCTGCTGATGGGCAGTATGATGTCATGTTCATCGGAACAGGTTCGTGAACGGTTTCTCCTTCACTTTGCGTTTTCTCTTTAGTGAAATGAAAATGATGGGGAGATAATGAGCATGTGGCATTTCAGACAAAGGGACAGTCCTAAAGGTGATCAGTGTCCCCAAGGAGAGCTGGAACAACATGGAAGAACTTTTACTGGAAGAGCTGGAGGTCTTCAAAGTAAGAACTAAATTAACTTCAACGTGTTGTACAAGAAAGTAGAAATAAATACCACATTTTATGATTTTGCCTAACCTGTCTAATTTTTTATTAGATGAAATATCAGAAACAGTTCAGCAGCAATTTATAGGAAAACAATGCAGCCACTGTTTTTAAGTGACCAGAAAGGCACATTTCCCAACTTACTTTCAATTGTCTTCAAACAGACATTAAATATGATGAAAAACAAAGTCAAGACAATCAAAAATGCTGCTTAAAGTAAAAAAAAAAAATAACTGAAAATTTGATTTAAAATACAACAAATCAATTTATGATCTTGTTTATACAGTGTGGAGGAGGAAATCAGGAGAATGGTCATTTAAGAGCTAGTAGCTTGGAGATCTAACAGACGGGCACCCTACCCAGCAATTTAAAAGAATATTTTAATTAGCAATAGTGTTGAAATAGAAAAAAAAACATTGACAAAACAGTAACAATATTTGGATCATTCAGTTAGATATTATTCTTATCCCTTTCAACCAACAACTGTTTCCCAAGAATGTTTTACATTTACAAGCTGGGCAGTGAATGTGTAAACATGTGAAAAAAAACTTTGCTTTTAATGGTTCTAACGCTGATTGATATCTGTGCTTTAAAGTAGAGAGAAGCTTAAAGCAAAAAGTAAGAATGTTCACCTTTTTTACAGTCGTTTTATATGATAATAACATTTCTTGTTTCTACAGAGCAGTTTTTGAAATACTGCTTTCTAAAAATGTTTGTGTGTCTTTAACTGCTACAAACGAAGGGCTTATTTCTACTTTAAGGGTACTAATATTTCTTTTAATCCATTCTTTTCTTCAGGATGCCTCATCTGTTATTAACATGCAGATCTCTTCCAAACGGGTAAGTTTACTTTGACTCTCTCCTGTTCAGAAACATGCTAACAACATGACCACCCTCGAGGCCATGTGTTGAAAAAACAAACAGTAAAAGAAGGTGATTAGTGACAACACTAAATCGGAATGGTTACAGAAAGTTCACTTCAAATCACCTAAAGGCGTCATAAATTACCACAGTCGTCACGGTTACAGAGATATAAACGATTTGATTTATGACAGAGAACTCCAGCTGTTTTCTATTCTGATAAATGGACATTCTTTAGGCCTTTTTGTCAAACGTTTCCATCTCGCCCCTGCCTGTTTTCACAGCAACAGCTGTACGTCGGCTCGGACACGGGAATCGCCCAAGTCCCTCTTCACCGGTGCAGTGTTTATGGGAAGGCATGCGCCGAGTGCTGCCTGGCTCGAGATCCATACTGCGCTTGGGACGGAACGTCCTGTACTCGTTACCTACCGAATACAAAGAGGTCTGTGACAAAATGTCTACGGCATACGTACCATATGGAGAGGTAGCTGTAAAGAAATTGAAGTCTTGACAGAAAGTGGAAATGACTATAACCAGTTTTTGTTTTTATATATTCCATTTAGACGTTTCCGTCGACAGGATGTAAGGAACGGGGACCCCAACACCCTTTGCTCAGGAGGTAAATTTACAACACTCGCACTGTAAAATGCAGCCCAGTTAAATTTTATTAGTAGAAGTGTAATGATACATTCAGCTTATGAGGATGTAGAATAATGGGTTCAAGAGGAGACCAGATATTTTTTTACAATATTTCCAGGAAAACTATTAATCGCCATTTTTTTGTTTTGTTTCCGTGAATAGAATTATGGTTTCATTAACCAGCAAAAGTATTTACAAGGCTCTGCAGAATATCTCCTTCCCCATTTAAGTCCATATATTGTGCTTTGCTTGTCTAATCCTGATGACTAAAGTGCATTAAGCTGCCTCTTTTTTCTGTTTTAGGACTAAAGCTTTTAGAAATCTCTATTCTTTGTTTTTATAAAGAATCTTTTTCAGTCCTGAGTTGCCAAGTTCAGGTGTGATAAGTCAAGATATTTTGAATCACAGTTTATCAAATACATTACAGGGTTTATTGAAAACAAAAATAGACCTTCAATTCTGACAGGAGGCTCTGAATCACAAACCAACTTTTGCACAACTGGTAATAGTTAGTCAGTTGTGCTATTTGTGTGATTAAAGTTAATTTGTACATTTGGTCACTTTGTCACAGTTTTTTTTTCTCTGTCACACTAACAAAAATCTGCTTCATAGGTGCTTTGAAATTGGTGTGAGCTTCTTCAATGCTTTAGGAAGTGAACGCTGATGGGCAATCTGGTGACCAATCTTGCACCAGTTTACGTTAAACTAGATCTGTGTTGGGTTTGGTCAGGTCAAAGTTACGTAATTCACATTCATAGTTCATCATATAAACATTCTGAACTCAGTTTAAAGTTCCAACTTCAACCAGCTGATGCAGTTTTTTTTAATATATATATATTTTCTGAAATTACATTAAAGATAAATGTAGGTCACGGCTTCATTTATCAGTGCTGATGATCAGTCTTTAGTTGATGTTGTCAACACAACAGGGCAATTAAAGAACTCCTTCCTTTCTTACCCCTAAGCCTAATAGCAACTGCACAGTGTTGAGTGAAAAACACAGTAAATGTACTGAGTGTTAGTATTGTAAGGTTTCTGTGCTATAAGATCTTGTTACAGCCCTGTTTGTTTATGGTAAATTTGTGTGAAAAAAGAAAACAAAAAAATGTAGAATGTAGCAGGTTTTAATTCTACATGTTCTCATGAACACTGTCTGTGCCTTTTCCTGTGTTGACATGGTGAAAGTCTTGGTATGTGACGTCTTACTGTCTTCATGGCAAAACAGCCAAAACGCTTCACCTCTGGTGACATCTGTCCTCTCAGACCACAAAGAGAGCATTCAGCCCCTCTCTGTGTTTCTACACCACAACGAAATCAGGCTAATCACTCCCGCTGAAAGAGCTCCTGGGTAATGAGATTACATCATGTGGCATTCAGGCCGAGTAAAACTGATGAAAATCAGCGCAATTGTCTCTGATGTGACTGGAGCGGCTGGTCAGTCTGTTTGGCAGGTTACACCAAATCGTTTCCACTTAAAGCACCATGCTGCTAAAGTTTTATCCTCTGTATTTATTGAATAGTTTTTCTTTTTCTTTCATTCGTTTTAGACAAGGCTTAGAAACAAAAGGTGTCATTAAGTTAGGACTTTAGAAGTCAAAACATGTGTAAATATTTGGGTCAATTCACCAAGTTCTGATAAATAATGAGAAGAAATGCTCTTGTATAGAGGAATCATACATTTTCCTATCATGTACAAGAACTGTCACGTCTAAATATTTTTTTTAAATGCCCCTTCCAAACAACATAAGCCAAGGTACTGAAAGGCAAATATTTTCTAGACTGTGTTTTTTTTTTCTTTTTTAATGAAATATAGCAAGCCTATAATTATATCTTTGTCTCTTCTGCCCCCTTCAGACCACCACAAGCATCGTGTTGCAGAGAGGAAGCTGTATGGAGTTGAGGGAAGCAGCACTTTCTTGGAGTGTATCCCCAAATCCCTTCAGGCCAGAGTCACCTGGACTTATCAGAAACAACCACAGAACCCGAGAGAGGAGGTGAGAGAGTGCGAAGGTTGAGGACGAGTTGGGGATGAAGGCACATTGTAACGATGCTGTCTGAGGTCACCGTATTGTTTTGTTTTTATCAGATTATCCACTTCATTATTTTCTTCTTATTGCTCAAATTCATGACTTTTGGATGATTCATCTCCCATGACAGCTGAAAATGTAATTAGAGTAACTCTACCCATAAGGGGCCACTGACCAGATTGGGTTTCATAAGAGCATTACCTAAATTACTGATCAGAAAAACACGCTCATTTTTATTCTCTTCAGAATCTGTCAAAATATTGCTGCTAACAATGATTCACAATTTGCACTATCACACAAAGAACCAAAACTGGTGGCATGACTTACTTTAGGGATTTTATATTAGTGTTTAATTAAGACACTGTAAAAAACAAAAACAAACTTGAAATCTGTTGCTCTAAAACACTCCATCGATTCAGAATGAGTTGAACTATTTTGCAAAGAAGAATTTCACTAGATGTGCTAAGAAAGTAATTACATTTTATTTCCATAGTACCAGTTCTGTACAAATGTAATCTTAAGACACTTTACAAGTCAATCATTTCTATCCATACAGATAAATAGCAGAAGGTATTGTTGTGGCATGATCTTGGAGAGAAAGCTATTAGATAAAGAAATATTCCATAGTTGGTAGCTCTTTCATTTGCTTTACCCAGGAGTGAAATGGTTAAATACAGAAAGGGCCTCAGTTTTCTCTGTAGACAGAGGACATTTGATTATTGGCAACAAAATTTAGGTGGGTCATTCCCTCAGGGAACAAAAACACCAGGCCGCATAGAGACAGTTCAACAGACAAATAGAATCATGTTGTCCGAGCTGAACCGAATCATATCTTTGACTCTAGGTACGTCTCGATGAACGTATCCTGCAGACAGACAGGGGCCTACTGATTCGTCGGGTTCTCAAGAGAGATGTCGGTGTCTACCAATGCCACGCTATGGAGCACGGATTCACCCAGACATTGCTGGGAATCACTTTAGAAGTCGTACCATCGACGTCTTCCTCCATCTCCAATCTTCCCTCCGACTCCCCTGTGCGATTAGATCCTCGCAGCGGAGGTGCTCCCTCACTGACCAATCAAAAGCTTTGGTATCGGGACTTCATGCAGCTGGTGGACCACCCTAACCTCAGCACTGTTGACCAGATTTGTGAGCAAGTTTGGGCACGAAAGCATGCTGGTGCCGACCAGGTGTCAAAGAGTTTTGAGTCTCCGAGGAAGGAGATCGTACCTTTGGGTCCTGCTGTCCGACCGGCCAATAAGAAATGGAAGCACCTCCAGGAGATCCGAAAGGGGAGAAACCGCAGGACCCATGATGGGAAACCGAGCTCTCGGGCACCGCGCAGTGCTCGGGAGTGACGACGGCGAGAAACGGATGAAAAAGAGTGAGAGGGAGAGTGAAAGAAAGTAACTGAGAGACCAGATACTCATGGAGGTGTTCACATAAACATGTACACACATAAAGACATGCACAGACACACTCCACCTCCTGTATTGTGTTTATTTATCTATGGATACCACCACTATACGGTACACCATCCCCCTGATTCCTCATCCCTGTGACCAGCTTCCTGCATGTGCTGCCTTACTGCCCAAACTGATTCTGCACGATCCCTTTACACTTCTTCACTAGGATAGTCGCGTGTACTAGCAAATACGCGAGAGGAAATTCACCCACATGAGGAGGCAATAAACTGACACACACATCTACAGCTTATTCTACAAGCCATTTACACTACTTTAATAGTTAGTGTGTTACCTGCTACTCTCTGGACAACACACTGCTGCCACTCATGAACAATCCGAAAGGTTTTGAGAAGCACTCTTCTATGTATAACATTTCTTTAAGTGACCTAAATATGGACAGAATGGGGAAAGTGACAACTGGAACAATGATGCAAAAATATAGTCTTGAACTGAAAACGAGTAATTATGCTTAAAATGTATGTGCATGTTGCAGTGACATTTGTAAGAGCCAGAGTAATTGACAAACATCTTTCTGTGGCCCTCCTTCCATTCTCATCACCACTTGTCATTTGTACAAATTACACCCTGGAGCCATGAAGAGTTACCAGCACCCGCAGAACACATTATTATTTGTGAAAATGTTATAAATTTGTTGTGGGGTTGAGTCAGTTTTATTTTTGGAGCCGTTTCCATTGACACATTGAGTTTGTATCATCACAAGCAACAGACTTAAAACAAAGAGATGCACCGATCGGGGTTTTCTGGCCAATTTTAGAGTAGACTTAGAGTTGAGTCAGTGCTCTTCCACATCGGCATGAGTCAGTTAAGGTGGACAAGGCGTCTGGTTAGAATACATCCTGGCACGGGAGGAAACCCTCCAGGTGGATGGATGGATGACAAAATTATAATCACTGTGGGACTCTTGTACCGCAGACATTTAATAAATAATGTCTGAAAGACCTGCCCAAAAGAACATAGACCATTCACATGCAGCAACTGTAGCAGTGCTTCATCTGTTAAAAATCTGGACCGATGGTGAGTCGCTATGGATATATTTATAAATATTACTTTGAATGAAGGATTTACTTCCTCTTTTACTGCTAATGTTAGTACACAGGTGATGACTTCAAATGGTTTACAGTTAAAGTTAACATCATGTGTGAGCTTTATAGTGCTGCAATAGAAAAAATGTCAACCAATTTGACCACCAGTTTCCACTAAAGTCCATTCAAAAGTTACTGGTACTTGAAGAAACAGCACTTCCATATAGTGATACAGTTCTAGACTTAATTTGTTAAGGTTTCAGACCCAGAGGTAAACAGTTGAGGTGGTCAAGCTGAAAATCAGCCATTTCCAATCACCAGATGTCAGAAGTCTTCCTCGGTGCATCTCTGATCAGAATACTTATTTCAGTCAGTATATGTGGTCTTAGTTAGGAACGAGTCATAACTGACCTCTTACTAAAAAATCATATTGCTGGTTAAAACCACTAGACAGTGGGTAATGATAAATGTACTCATATTCCATAAAGTGGAAGAAGAATAAGATGTTTACGGAACAGCAAAAGCTGGAAAAAACAATAAAGCAAATAAATCAGTCTATAAAAAAACAATTTGAGAATACAATTAGGAACCCAATTAGAGCTCATAGTATCACTTGCAAAGAAAAAAATGCAACTAAAATAATTTGGACGCAATTCAGAACAGTAATTCTTACATACTGTCTATCTTTTTGCTTCCAGCATTTTTGGCATTAAAGATAAATAATGAGAACAGTGGTTTGTGGGGAAAGGGATAAATATGGTAGGAAAGGTCAGAAGAGAGGGGGAGGATTTAAGCAGACTCAAAATATGACAACCCATATTTTTTGGGCTACAGAACAGTATATAAATATATAAATATATCTATATTAGCATGATATTTATGAGTGAGAATAAGGTTTTTCTTTTCTGTATACTAAGCGGTACAACATTTCTTTCGCACTGTTCAATCCTAACTTGTTAGTGATGCATAGATAAGCAGTTGATACACAGTGAGTACAGGATTCCTAGTTCAGCACACGAAATTTCACACAATTCGTTTTCTACAGATTGTGAAAAAAATACACTTTGTAACCACTTGTTATGTAGTGTTGCAGTCATTGAAATCATTGGATGCTGCTTGAGGATGTAAACTCGGTTAGGACAGCAAGGTTTTCCTTTTTAAATGTCTTAGTCTCTAGGTGTTTTATTTGTAAAGAAACCACATTCGTTGGTTGTTTGCGCTAACATGGTGTGTGTAGCCTGCCCCCTAGTGTTCATTGCTTGAACAGGCTCAGCTAAGGAGCCTGTATGTGGTACTTTGGTATGTCATAACCAGTATGCAAGAAAGGAACTGATGGGTCTTCTTAGATAAAACACGTGTTTATGTTTTACAGAAATAAAATCTGTACCGATATGTTTTGTGCTGCTACCACCAAATATCATGGTTTTAATCACATTACCTTAAGTTAGTGTATTCATCCCAGTTAAAAGCAAGGCAGCACAA